AGCTGAACCCTACGGACCATTTCCCCGAGGCACATCTTACTGACTCCTGCGTCGAGAAATTGCCATCCTCTAGCCAAAGATCCATAATCTCACCAAAAGAGGGGGCACCTCCCAGGCCAGTCCACGGCACTGTCAGGGTTTACATCACGTGGTCTCAGTTATTCGAACAAAATCCTCATCACTAAGCTGGATTTGTAGACTACAGTTACCATTATTCTAACACGCATCTTCGCAAATTATCACGCAATTTGCAAAATCAAACAGTTGATTTTTTATCAGCGGGGAAAAAAATGCACTTAAGAAATCGTGTTCATTCGTGGCCGCTATCGATTCTGACAGATGACGGGATATCGGCAGCCACAAAAGCTTCTGTCGCTGCTTACAAGTTTCCTCATCTCGAGCGAATGTGACACGTTAACTACGATGGGGAATGAGTAATGTAAAGTTAGAGGTCTACGCGGAAGGTCTCAACCCGGCTGCTATGGAGATGCTGCTGTGAAGTCCCACATCTTCCCTGTCAGCAGGAATACCAACGGTGACAACCGTCTGCTCGGGATTTGTGTAGGAAGGCAAACCTGCACGGATCAGCCCGAATCCACATGATATCCAGTTACCATGCGAGCCATTTACATACAGTAGACGGCTCATATTTGGAGGCGCAAAGGCATGCGTTTGTACTTAAATACCTGATTTCTTAAAATTGGTGTTAGCGTAGCAACAAAAATGTTGCTAAGCTAAAAGTAGGTAATATATAATACCACGATCCTCTCAGCAAAGGTGTAAAATGCGGAGCATATGTACATACTTATCGCTAGAATCTATAAGTAGCTTAACTAATGCGGGTAAAACAAAGAAAATGGCGCAAAATTAAAAAGGTGTACAACTCAGATTATTACCTTTGTCAATCAAAACAATCATCCAAAGGCAAACCGGGGCAAACTATACGACATCAACGTAAGAGTGAGGCACGGAAGCGAGCCGGCAGCACACAGGGCAAGAGAGAAAGCTGGAAAATGCCGAATAAGGGAGCGTTTCGCGTGGAGCCATGTGGTATCTAGGCTGGGTAGCAGTACCATTAGTAGAGCGTTACGGTCAGGGTTCTAAACCAGGATTCTGCTATTGGCATGGTGTACAGACACAAAATAACAGCGCAACATTTGACAGGCCTCGTCGGGGGGGGGGGACAACAAAAAAACGCTGTAAATGCTCTTGGAAACTAAATATTTTAGCAGTCGACATGAATGTGTGCCCAATGGTATCTTGCTTACACGCCTCAGCACCTGTGATTATATAATGCTTCGCCACCTTAATACCGAACGCCGAGCCTTCTAGTCTCCATCCCGTACACATCCGGCATCGTCTGGGCAGAGGATCAGCCGAATGTTCCCCTGTAGCTCCCCATCCGTTCTTTCCCGGTTATTTCCACATGCCTGTTCAGCAACTCAAGTGTGCATGTACTTTTTGTTTATGACACATTGAGAGCAACACGGGTGCTGATCAAGCAAACACGCGCATATATATTTGACTTCCTCACACATACCTCATTGTTATGTAATGAGAATTTGTAAAATACTGCGCACCTATAATTGCACGACACGGCTTGCCTTGTGAAATGGCACAGGCAGCTGGGCAGCGAGTCAAAAGATTTGTTTTCTTTCATTATTTGCACTATCTGCTTTTGTCCTTCGCTACATACATCTGCTGCCACCATCAGGGCAGAAGAGAACTGAGGAACTACACTGCTCACCCAAAGCCCAGTTTCATGTCATATATAGATATACACCACAATAAAAAAGGAACCCAGTCCAGTTTTATTTGCTATTTTGAATAGTAAACAAAACGTCAGGGAAATAATAGTGATGGCTGGCACAAAACAGTGTGACTCAGACCTATGTAGTCATATTTTATTTAAAAAAAAAAAAACAAAAAAAAAACACATTTATTTATTATATTTGTAGCCTAAAATTAGCACTAACGTGTGAAGCAAGCAAACACAAATAGATTGATGAATAAACAAACAAACAAATAAATAAATAACATGTATAACAGCAAGCTTCCTGACACGTGCGCGAACGAAATTGCATCTATGTTATGTTGCAAACCTCCTAGGAACTGTCACGGTTTTGTACAACACGGTTCGTAAGGGGTGCCAGGAATGCTGGGAAATTCAATTTCAGCTGCTTCCTCAGGATCATCACCGCGCGCCACCGGACCTGTTGCTAATAAACTTGTTATTGCGTCGCCACCCATGGTCTATGGGCCAGGGAACTGGGTGCCAAGTCACACCTTCAGCTGTAATCAACTGTCACCCCTCCCCCCAGCACAATGCATCGGTGTACACAAATCAGCACTGCATACACTAAAGAGAGAGAGAGAAAAAAAAAAAAAAACATAGAATAATAATTATAATAATCATCATCATCATCATCCTGTCCAGGGTGTGCCCCAGCCATGTGCCCTACACTGCCTGGGATAAGATCCAGGCCCCGCCCGTTGTAAACATAACCAGAATAACCAGTAGACAGTAGTAATAATAATAACTAATAATAACAACAACAACAATATTAGTAGGATAAACTAAAAAAAAAAAATATTGTGCTTTTCACCCTGCAACCTCGCAATTAGACTCAGTTAATGCTGATCATCCTAGCTGGTTCGGGAGCCTGAAATGATCAAATCTGCAAAGAAAACAACATCCGTCCACTTTCACACTCCAGTGGAAGAGGTGGTCCCTCACGGCAGGACTACCTAGTCTTGCCATCTGGAGAATAAATCGAGTGTGAAGTACAGTATAGTTTGGGACCAAGCTCCGTGGCGGCGGCTCAGCAGTTAGTTCATTAGTTCCAAACTTCCAGGGATTAGGAGCACATTCATTCTGTGGGGGGGGGGGGTGGGGGCGGGCAGGGAGGAGGGCTTCGAGGGGGAACGGGACGACCAATCTGCTGAGCACAGGCCATGCTTATGCGCAATGTACATAAACAGACTCTTCCCCTAGAGAACAGGGTTAGGCAGGTGGAGAATGTATCAGTGTCGTTCCCCCTCCCTCGCTCCTCAACCCCCCCCCCCCCCCCCCCCCCCCCCCCCCCCCCCCCGTCCGATATCTCTGATCCCGCTCGTGCGGGGCGAGGGCGTCAGCGTGGTCATCCCTGGCGTCCCCAGCCCGGCCGGGTGATGGCTAGCGGTTTCTGGAAGGCCCTCGTACCGTCTGTCGCGCGGCACCCGGCGAGCAGGGCAGGGCAGGGTGGGAGCTGGCAAGGGCCAGCCAGGGGGGGGGGGGTGGACTGAGTCACCGAGCGGCTGTCACCACAAACGCAATCGCAGACGAGGCCAAGACACTGCAACCTGGGAAACACTGTGGAGACCTTGATCTGCTTCACTTTAGCAAGATACGCTACGCTATGTTTTTAATACCTATAATATAAAACTGTGTTATACAGCCAGTGCGCACATATTTGTCATTTCCAACCATTCAGAGCACATACGTCTGAGAGCCTTGCAACTTGGGGAATACAACAGACTGCCAGACTATTGCCCGCTTTTAATCAAAACTGACCGGAAGGTTCCGGTTAACTTATTGCATGTGCCATGTGTGTAACATCTCTGCCGCAATTTCGCAACCAAAATGTAGAAAACCATCCAACAAAAACAGCGCATGAAATCAAACACTGGCAAACATTTAACTCTAACAGATAACCGACAAATTCCCTCCACAAGCTCACATTTAAAAAGTACACGTCTAAAATGTTATCCATATACTCGTTCATTTACGGTTCTTTGATTAACAGTGATGCTTCATAAAATGATTATTCTTTGGGGCCGATATAATTTTTTATGTAACGGAACGCTAAAAAGATTATTTCCGAGCATGAAAAAAATAGCAACGCTTATTGGATGACTGAATGTTATTTTCCAGGGATAGCAATTAGCATTTTTATCGCAAAGCTAATTCTATCAGCATGGACAGGAACACGGGCGATGCACAGAGAGGCTGCTCTGCCTATTGAGCAAATGAAGTCCCATTTCTAATGCCATTTTCTCCTCCTTCAGATCACCAACACTTAATATTCGCCAGCAAGATAATCCTATATAGGCAGAACCTAGCTGCTGCAATGATTGATATAAAAAAGAAAACATAAAAATGGTATTACCAGCATATAAAATGGGATACATTAATACTACAGGGAGCACAGGAAGGTTATCTTTAACTCTCTATTAAGTTGTTAACATTAAAATATATGTTTTTCAATAATAGCAAAACAATTTGAATAAAAAATTGGAAGTTTATTTGGAGGATTTTAAATTTTTTTTTTAAGGATGGATGTGATGTTTATAAATAATAGAGAAATGGAGGATATGTTATCATTTTGTGTTCAATCACCTCTCCATACCTGAGGGCTTAAGTTGTCTTTCAAACCCGGCTTTTAATTCGCCAGGAATTGCCTGGAGCAACCTGGCCAATCCTTATTATCAAGCTTCCGTTAGATGACTTTCTAGCCAAGTCCTCCCCTGTAGCCCTCTCCAATCAGCATTTCACAGGGAGCCAGCCGGCCTCTATGGCAATGCGATGTGGGGGGGCCGGGAACACTTTTAACCTGCTGCATCTGCCCGCGTCCTGCTGTTTGCCCAGTGTGACGTGGTCACCTTGTTTCAAGTCAATGCGGAAAAGGGGCCATTCTTTCCTTTCTTGCAGCATAATGGCGAGAAAAAATAAAGTTGTTTTAATTATCTCACTTAGGTAGTTTTCTATTGAGAGATTAAGGACTCACACCTGTTTATTCAGGAGAGAGAAGGGAAGAAGAAAAAGGAAAAAAAGGAATGAAAAGCAAACTTAGCCCTGAGTTGCGGGTGGAGTGCACTGAAAGGTAAAATTACGTGGGCCTAAAATGATTTAATGGTAGGGTTACGCAGGTTTAGTTTTGTGGAGCTAACTGTAAGAAACATGGAGACAGGTGGGTCATAATTCCGTCGGGCGTGTTGTGGGACACCTAAGCGGGCTGTACCTTTTTGCTGGCCGCGACCCCATCTTCACAGTCCAGGACTGCGCAGTCGGCGTCCAGCGAGGCCAGTTTGCGCAGCTTCCTCTCGTCGTTCCCCGGGACGTAAAGCACGGCTCGGCGCGGCACGTAGCGCAGCGTGTGCTGCCAGCGACGGCCGCCAAGGCCTGCCAGCGGCGGCGGCGGTAGCGGCGTCCACACCGAACGGCGGGGTAGGCCTCTGTCAGGGCAGGAAGAACAGGATCCCACATGTGACCTGCCACCAAACACTCTTACTAATGGCAGGATTAAAAAAATAAAGAAAAATCAACATTGTAATACCATCGTTCAAGGGACCAGCAGAAAAAATACGGATATCAAATGATGTCATTTCCTGCATCATTGCAAAATGATATTAGCAACAAAAACTACATCTGTGCTAGGAAAGTAAATATTACTGGCTTTTATTTTATTAATTTTATGAGAAGCATGTTTTCTCCCACCCTTTTGTGGTGGGTAGCTTAAAGCTAGTTAACAAATGTACTGATTTGGCAGGATACCCCTTCGAAATGCATACAAAAACCAATATGGACAGAGTCCGCAGTCCTAATACTAATGCTGAGCTTGAGTTTGGCTTTCAAATCTCCATCAGCATTCTGGGTCAGTACGCTGGCTTCAAAATCGACAGGACGCTAAAGCATTGTAGCTTTCCCCGGATCTTTAACTCGGTACAAAAAGTTTGTTTTTCTTTCGGATCCCCATTCAAGCGGGGAAGCGGCGCTGACCTGAGCTTTGAAACACTTTATCACCGGTGACATCAGAGGCGATTGTTCTGCTCTCACCCTAATGCACAATGGCTTAACAGATACAGCTGAATCAATCTATTAAGAGCCAGGCTAAACTGGGAGACAAAAAGAGAGAGTGACTGATAGGACAGGGGAAAAAAGGGATTAGAGGGCCCAGAAAATAATTAAAGTTTGACTACACAACAAATTTGCATAATACTTGGTACTAATTACTGGTGGAAACAGGAGCGTAGTTGTTGTAAACAGTGATAGTATCTGAGCAAACACTAGGGGCCGGGCACAGAGGCCAGGGTCCCCATTCATACAGAGTCCTGCTTAATGAAAGCACTCGCCCAAACACTTTTTATTGGTTCAGCTGCCTCGCACACATATTATCACCCGTGCTAATAATCCCAGTTACGCTCCTAACATTTTAATTATTTGCTCTGTACGTTCGAGGTTGCTTGAATAATTAGTGCTAATGACCGGCCAAAATAACCGGGATCATATATATCTAATTACAGTCGGGCACAATTCTCTCCTGCCTGCGTTTTTTTCCCATTCTGCTCCAAGGGATAATATTTGTTCATTGCATTTTTTTTTTGTGTGTCCTGCCTCGAGAAAAGCGGCAGAATGGGGACAGAAGGACAGCAGGAAAGGGGGTAAGGTATCCTCCATTCTGTCTTTGTTTTCTAAAGAAGTTAAAGTCAGTTCAATAGGTACTTAATCCTGTCATCCACGCTTACAACTGCCTTCCAGTATCAATCAGGCATAATCTGAAGTACGATGATGCTGCTATATTATGCAATTAAAAGCAATTCAGGTGGTTATTGCTTGGAGCCCAAGTACACAGTGTCTCGGCAGGGATCCCAAATGCTATAGTGTTTAAATTTGGTTAGTAACAATATCTCCCAGGGGGAAAGGGGAGGAATATGCAGAATCCTCTCCTGGTGTGGACCATGAAACAGAGGAAAGGGGAGGAACTCGCTGTCACTTGAGGGACAAAAACCTACAGCACCCATATTGATGGGGGGAACAAAAAAGCAAACAGCAAAATTAGAAAGAAAAACAGAGGGTTGGAGGAAGGAGTTGCGGGAGGGGGGGGAGGGGGGGGTGACCCAAATGAAGTCCTCTACATTCAGCCACAGACCACTGTGGGGTGAATGTTAAAAAGCTATTTTAAGTGGCCACTTGAAAGGAGAATAATTTACAATACAAGAGAGAGATGCTCACAAGAGGAAGGTAACAGTAATTAAAGAATGGATTCTGTTAAAAAAAAAAAAAACACAAAAAAAAGCATCAGTGAAGCACTGCCCGCCTTCAGAATAAGGCATGCCGGCCGGGCCTGATGCATGCCGGCCTGATGCATGCCGGCCTGATGCATGCCGGCCTGATGCATGCCGGGCCTGATGTATGCCGGGCCTGATGTATGCCGGGCCTGATGTATGCCGGCCGGGCCTGAAACAAAATCAGGACCCTAATGAAGAGCACGTCCGCGATCCCACGTCCGCTTTCCCCCGGCTCCGTTTTTTTATTTGCTTTTTCGACTCAACGGGGTTTCGTTTTGCTGTACCACGGCCCCTCCGGGGAACAGGAGGTGGTTCCCCCCGTCGCTGCCAGTTTCCTCCCGCCGTGGCCAGATCCCACGCTTGAGAACGATCCCGCGCGCGGCCACCCAACGCCCCCCCGCGCGCGGCCACCCAACGCCCCCCCGCGCGCGGCCACCCAACGCCCCCCCGCGCGCGGCCACCCAACGCCCAACGCCCCCCGCGCGCGGCCACCCAACGCCCAACGCCCCCCCGCGCGCGGCCACCCAACGCCCAACGCCCCCCCGCGCGCTCACATCACGGACCCTTTTCAACCGTTCTGCGGTTGCCTGGATTTTTGTGAATTCACCTATTTGCTTCCCCGCACAGATCTTACAGGGAGGCAAAACGAGCTTTGACGCAAAAAGAAGCGAACACAAGAGAAAAATAATAATAAAGGCACGTTAAAAACTGAGGGGGGAAAAAAAAACAACAGAAACGGTGACATTTTCAGTTTGACACAAAAAGAGATGATCGTTCTCAATTAAAAGAACCAATTAGCTGCAAAGTATAGCCTGAAATCTAAAGCACTGGTTCACAGAGTGGGGAAAAAAATGATAACAGACAGCTTAGAGGGAATGAGTTAGGGCCATTTCAGGAAAGTGTACTGTACCACAGCAGAGCATGTGCGGTAGGGGAGGGGAACAGCAGTTTGTGGAGGACGGCGTGCAAACGCAGCCGCGCGGCTGCCATGTTTCAGCCGCAGACGTCTCCTGTGGCTGCTGGCTCGCGCCGAGTTTTCATGTTCAGCCACAACAAATTGCTTGAAAGTATTTTCTTTTTTTATCATTGTCAGCTGTGTCCGTGGCTTTAATGGAGACGGGTAGTGATGGCGAGATCCGGCGTCGACTTTCGGTGAGAATACACACAAAAATACAACCCCTGAGAGAAGCAGTGTCTCTTGGCAAGAAATTGGGCAAAATGCTGAATTTCCGATACACTAAGGAAAGACACATAGAATAAGGCTCTGTTTTTAACCTGGAATACAGATAACACCCCTTTTCTCCAATATGCAACTAGGAAAAGGTAGAATACTGCTTCATATCAATGAGCAATAATTGTTTCATATGCAATGTTTTGTACATGCTTACAATGAAGTGCTTGTGTTTAATTTATTTTGACTTATTTTGATTTCTTTAGCGTGACATTCCACGTGAATAAACTGGCTATATCAAAATCACTATTTCAATAAAAATGTCTTCCAGCAAGATGTTTTACGTGGAAGTTTTAAAAACAAAATATAAATGAATAATCTACAGCTAGCCAGAGCCATTTCCTGGCCCGTCGTCTCTCGATACCCTTCCCCTCTGCGGTTGTCCCCCTCGACGTCTGACAGGAGATTCTCCTAAATGCTGCAGAAAACAGGTGTGATTTAGGACTTTCGCTGACAATACGCCGCCCGTTTGGGCCCAGCGAGAGAAATCCAACGCGCCTCATGTTCCCGCATTCAGCGACATCCCCGAACGGTTACACTGCTACATATGTATTTCCAGGACATTTTATTCAACTTGGGCGACATCTGTATCCAGAATGACAGACCCATTGTGATACGATGACAATGTAACACAAGAGCAGTTGTAGCTACATGTAACATCATGTGACCGTGTTAAAGTGTTGCAAGTAGCATAAAGTGCTCTATGAATATATCATGAAGACTGCATTCTTTGGGAAGGAGAACAAAAATCTTGGTATGTCTCATGAGAAAAGTAAGAGGTTGCGATGGTGGGTCTTCAGCCTGCAGCAGAACAGACACCAGTTCACTTCCGCCACTTAGATAGTCGTAAAGCTTACTGGTAGAAAACAGTAACACTGGAACCAACTGGAATGACCTTTGTGGTGAAACGTACAGTAGCCCGCTTCAGACATGTGGATTTCAATTCTTGTTTTCATACATGCTGACATCTGTTTGACATTTTCCAGCTATTAAATCACAAAATATGACTTTGGGTTTAACAATCCCTAAAGTAAATTATTTTCAAATCGTTAGACACGGACAGACAAACGCACACACACACACACTCACACACACAATTTTTTATTTTTTAAATCAGGTCAGCTTGCTTGCCTTGAGGCCACTGTGTACATATTTATGGGTCAAACTTCAAGGGACCTCCTGAAGTTTCTGCATGTTAATGGTTTTCAGCGCCTCTCTGGTCCTCATTAAGGCAGCTATGGCCTGGGACCAGGCCTGGCCTTGCAAGCTATAGCACTCCTAGTGGAGGAAGCAGGAAAACTCAAAAATCTTCCAGCATTTGCTTTTTCTGTTCACTTCTTTGCCAGGGAGCCGGCCTACTGTTAAGTTACATTCATGGATGTGACATCACTATTAATGGACTTATACTAAGCCAAACAAGAATTTTATTATTAAACCATTCAGGACTGCAAGATCCAGTTTAATAAACACTTTTTACATATCTTCTAAAATCAGCTATAGCACTAGCGTTTCATCACCAGATTAACGCCTCACACGTCATTTGGTCACAGAGGCACTACACGTGCAATTCGATTGGCCCATTCGCCCGATGTGCTTGTTCTTGGATTACAGCTATAAAGCACAGAACCTAAAGGAAAAGCCACCCACAAGCACAAGAAGCAGCAGCCAAGTCAGCAAAGCAGAGCAGGGGCTGGATTCATACCCACAATCCTGGAGGTTTGAGGGAAAAATACGACCCGCTGAGAGAACGGACCACTCTATTATAAGAACATCTGTGCGTATATTGAAATTGCTAAAGCTGTGTTAAGTATTCATGAAAGTGCAATAGAGCACACTCATAAAATATATGAATTATGTAGAGTACACTTATGATAAGAAGATTAAATTAGAATCACTTGCAATAAGACTACATAATAAGAGAGTAATAGGCCCTAAT